AGCGGAGTGCAGTGATGACAGCGCGGTGTGGGCCACATTGCAAGGCCTGGCGGGACGGATTTGGCCCGCGGGCCTTGTGTTTGACACATGTGCTAAACACTTGGTCTTCCTGGTGACAAGTCCCATCTTGAAGCTATCTAGAAGATCCAACCTAAGTCACCTCACTAGCATGAATTCAGGTGTGCTCCAAAAGGGGCTTCTTATGAAGGACAGAAACACCCCCATCACTCAGGAAATTCAAAGGGTTTTAGGTGTTTTGTACCAGATTCAAGAACAAATAATAAATATATTTCCTATTATACCACACTATAAAAATATAAACCTTGACTCTTACCTCACTTCACTTATCAAAAATTGAATTCAAGATGTACAAGCCAGAACTATTGTATAAAGTTTTGAGAAAAAAAATACCTGATACTATCTTTATAACCATGGGGTAGACAGGCAAAAAATTTTTAGTGAACAAAAAACAGCACCAAGCATTAAAAAAAAAAGTTTTTGATAAACTGAATTTCATGAAAATTTAAAACTTCAGCACATCAAAAGACAACCTTCAGACTAGGATAAATATTCCCAATACATCTATCTGTCACTCTTAGTCAAAATATATTAATACTCTTGCAATTCAATTACAAGAAGGAAAATGGGCCAATAAATAAAATTAGTATAAGACTTCAATAGACATTTCACAAAAGAAGATAAAGCAATATCTAATGTGCACATGAACGAGGCTCAACATCTCTCATTATCTGGGAAACCCAAATTAAAACCCTAAGAAGATAACCATTACACACCACTATGTTGACAAAGATATAAAACAAATGGAACTCTTAAGAGCACATGTATAAGTATCTAAACCAGCATTATTCATAATAGCCAAAAACTGAAGACTATCCAAATGTCTATCAACAAAAGAATACACACAAACACTATTTGGTTATACGCATGAAGTAGAATACTATTCAGCAATAAAAAGGACTCAACTACTATACATATAAGATCTGTGCATCCTATTGTATGTATAAGTTTAACTCAGTATAATATTGTAAGGGAGAGAAAAAAAAAAAACTTTAAGCTAGACTTCCAGTTCAAGATGGCAAATTAACCACAAGTATTTATCTTTTCCCCACAGATAGTAACTGGGAAAGGACATGTAAGAAACTTCTAGAAACACTGCTGTACAGAGCATCTATCCAGCTACTATATTTTCACACAGGATGTTAAACTTACAAATGCTAGTCTGCTTTCTAAAGCAAAACAAAAGCAAAAACAAAACACTCCTTAATTAGTAGCTCAGATGATGAGTATGGTCACAATGTACGCTTTTCAAGTCCTATTAATATATCAGCTTTTCAGCTCCCGTTAAAATGCACAGATGATAGAGGTGACCTTACAAAAGACTGTAAGGTAAATAAGCAGTCTAATATTCTAATATCCTAGTGAATACTTTTGGCATTTTCTAAGTACCCCAACACAATAAGTTATGGATCCATTTTCTCATCCTATATTCCATTCTGATATTTTGTAGTATGTTTGCCAAATATGTATCTTCAGTACTTATCAAAGTAATGTGTTACTTTAATACAATTTATGGTCAAACAGCCCAATCTCTATATCTCTAGTAGGACCTCTGCCAGCAGATATCAAATTCCCTAAATATTTTTAAGCTGAGCATTTAATAAATAAAATCAGATGACTAAAGTGTTGAGACAATGGCTGAATTGGAAAGTCAAAAATTATGTAATGGCCGAAGCCGGTTTGGCTCAGTGATAGAGCATAGGTCTGCGGACTGAAAGGTCCCAGGTTCGATTCCGGTCAAGGGCCTTGGTTGTGGGCACATCCCCGATAGGGGGTGTGCAAGAGGCAGCTGGTCAATGCTTCTCTCTCATCGACGTTTCTAGCTCTCTATCTCCTCCCTTTCTCTCTGTTAAAAAAAAAATCAATAAAATATATATTTTTTTAAATTATATAATGGTGGCAATTAACACAATTATTCTATACTTTAGCCCTGGTGCACGAAATTCGTGCACAGGGGTGGGGGTTGTCCCTCAACCCAGCCTGTACCCTCTCCAATCTAGGACCCGTAAAGGGATGTCCGATTGCCTGTTTAGGCCCGTTCCCACTGGGCAGTTGGACAGCTGGCTCCCAACCGCTCACCTGCCTACCTGCCTAATTTCTCCTAACTGCTTCTGCCTGCCAGCCTGATCACCCCCTAACTACTCCCCTGTCAGCCTGATAAATGCCTGAATGCTTCCCTGCTGGCCTAGTCACCCCTAACTGCCCTCCCCTGCAGGCCTGGTCCCCCTCCAAATTCCCTCCCCTACAGGCCTGATCCCCCCCAACTGCCCTCTTCTGCAGACCTGGTCCCCCCTAACTACCCTTCCTTGCCAGCCTGTTCACACCTAACTGCCCTCCCCTGCCAGCTTGGTCGTTCTCACCTGCCCTCCCCTGAAGGCCTGATTGCCCCCAACTGCCCTCCTTTGCAGGCCTGGCCACCCCTAACTGTCCTCCCGTGCAGGCCTGATCGCCCCCAACTACCCTCACTTGCAGGCCTGGTCCCTCCCAACTACCCTTCTCTGCTGGCCATCTTGTGGTATTCATCTTGTGTTCACATGGGGGCAGCCATCTTTGACCACATGGGGGTGGCCATGTTGTGTGTTGAAGTGATGGTCCATTTGCATATTACTCTTTTATTATATAGGATTCTCTGACAGTATTCAGCAGTAGATAAAAGAGGTTGGGTTATGGCAGGACATTAACTGAATATAGAATTGGGATCCTGCCCCTCCTCTCTTACCCAACACTCCACAAAATAATAATAACAATAATAATAATATACTCTGGTTCCTGCAGACTTCTGATCCTTTCACCTCTTTTCTCAAACCATTTTCTTCTTTTATAAAAGCAGATACTAAATATAAGTCTGAAATCAAGCACAACCTTTTTGAAGCTTAATTAATTTTTACTATCAGAATTTTTTAAAGTAAGAGAACGTTTATTTAGAAAGTTAGAGGCAAAAGAATAGCCCTTGGAGTTTAGGGGAGAGAAAGGTAAAGGTGACTAGCCTGGGGGAACAAAATGGGGAGAGGAAAGGTGCAGGATCCAGGAGGAAGAGCTTACTGTGCTAAATGGTTCAATCTCACTAATTCTGTGGGAAACTCCCTTTGCCCCTCTCCTGAGGGCACATGAACACATGCTCTCACTCTGCCACCCTCAAGCACTCACCAGCAAAGATCCTTTTGTCACCTGTTGGAATTTGAGATTTAAAAGCATCCCTGGGATTTTAAAAACAATACACTCAAGTAGAAAAGAGAGAACTCATGCACATCTGGCTAGGGATAGGTTATGGGTATAAATATGGGGATACTACATCCCTGAGCTGGAAGCTTGACCTGGATCTCTTTTTTTATTTTTTAATCCTCACCTGAGGATATGTCTTTTATTGATTTTGAAAGAGAAACATCAACCTGTTGCCTCCCATACGCACACCATCCGGGGATCAAACACACAACCTGGGTATGTGCCCTGATAGGGAATCAAACCTACAATCGTTTGGTGTAAAAGACATTGTGCCAACCAACTGAGCCTCCCAGCCAGGCGTTTTTAAAAAATTATATCTCTGTATCTCTTATCACTGACTTGAATCTCCAATAAGTCTGTGGACACTGTGGAGAACTGAAGTATTTCTACCTTCAGTGGCCATTCGCAAAGGTTTGGGAGGAATTCTTAATCATTTCCTATTGGGAATTATAACACTAATATAGAAGGGGGAAATTCATATTTAAAACATTCTCACAACAAAATAAGATATTTCCTTTTGGTGTTTCCAACTTTCTATTGACTCTAACTTTTATTATAAATTGAACTGAGATTTGCTTAGAATTTCCTTAAAAAAGAGAGAAAGAAGGGCTGTTACCAACACAAATCAAGTTCAAGGTCAACAAGAAATTGGCAGAGAAAGGGTGTTGCTGAGAGTAAAACAAAAATAACCTATTTTGAAAACTGAGTGTAAAAGAGGAGGAGATGCAGCCAAGAGACTTAAATAAATGTACTAGGAATAGGATGACACTGAGTCCAGAGACAGAAGAGTACATTTATCAGACTCAAGCAGCAGAAAGAAGACATGATGTTACAATGAAAAAAGAAGAGTTTCAGAAAAGTTTCATTCTTGATTCACAACTGGAAATAATTGTGTGTGTGTGTGTGTGTGTGTGTGTACATATATACATATATACCATGAATACATACAATATGAATACATATATTATAATATGAATACATGATTAGAATTGTCAACCTATAGCATAGTACCTGATCCAAAGTAAAATCTGAATATGAGGTAATTGCTGTAAATAGGTGGAGAAAATCCAAATTATCAATACTTATTATATTTTCCTAGAATATAATTAACTAATAAATTCGGTTACTAAGAAAAAAAATAAAATTTATTTCTATAAATAACATATAGCCCTTCTGATATTTTCAGAAAAATCCAATCAACTGTTCTCTTCATTAAGAATTAATTGAAGTTGATTGGGCAGATATTATATACACAAATATATAGCCATATGAACTCAGAGTAAAGCAAAATTTTATTTTGTTCTGAAGCACTATAGTTTATATAATTTTTTCTACACTGAGCCATTTCTACACTGCCCTTATAACTCATACTGGCCACAATGAGATTAACCATAAATCTAAAGAAGGCAGATTACTTATAAAATAGATTTCCCCATCTGATTGCAGCCTCAATAGAGCAACAGAACAAAATAAAATAAGATATTGGATTTTTAGTTCTCATAAATAATAGGAAAGATTAAATCACATAACGGTAAAATTTGATTTTGGCACCACATAACTCATTATACATTTAGCTTATCAACTGGATTCTTTTGCAAAACATCTGAAATCTAAATGCAAATTTTAACAGCTCTCCAAAAAGCAGCTGCATTAACCACAGTGTGCTAATGATAAAATGATACTCAATGCAAGTTTCTTACCTGCCTCAACAGTTTTTCAACGGCTGACATCACCATAAGGCCTCTCCAAACAACTGGTGCAGTCTCTTCAACCAGGAAGCCCATAGACATACTACAACAGTGAATCAAAAATATAGCTCATTTACATAAATTAATCAACAGTATTCTGGAAAAAAAAATAAAGTACAAAAGATTAGCTCACCAAGCAATACCATAATTCAAAAGAGGCTTCATTAGGTTGTCTGAAATTAAAAAAAAAAAAAACACAAAATTCTTTTAGATGAGTCATTATATATAAACATAATGATTTGTTCTCATCAAAGTGTCAAATTAAAATACACATAGACTATTCATACTCCTGCTCTTTTAACTCCAACTAATTCACCTCAATTTACAACAGTTTAAACATTTACCAAGCATAAAACTAATACTTCCAATAGATGTAACATCTAAAAATGGTGAGATAATGCGTTTAACCTATCTAGATTTTGCTTTTCTTTTAATTTTTTTCCACTTACAATATTATTATTTCACTGGAGAATTATATAATATTTATATTGCTGAGATATTTGAATTCATATCTACTATTCTATTTTATATTTTCTCTTCACCTCAATTTGTTTTTTGTAGGCTTATTTTATATTGCGATTCTTCTCATTACATTTCCCTTTTTTAAAATAGAAATCATACAGTCCATTTCTATTCTTACAATGATTTCCCAGTAATTTCAACAAATGTGTAAAATGAATCAATACCTCTACTTTTTTTCCCTTTGAATTCTTCAAATCCATCACTCTCCTTCCCAGGCCAACTCATATACTATTGTCCTGAATTTTAGTTCTATCTTGGAAAATTCTTAACTATTATCTCTTAAATATTGTCTCTATCATATTTTCTCCATTATCTCCTTCTAGAACTCTAATTAGATCTGTTTGACCTTCTGATGCTATCCTCCATGTCTCTCAAATTTTCATCCTCTTCCCCCTTTTCTTTATGTACTGTATTCTGGGTATTTTCTTTTTATCTACATTCCAGTTAACTAAATTCTTCTTTAATTGTGACTAATCTTTTTTTATTATATCTGTCCATTTCTTTCCACTCTACCCAGAACAAAAGACAAGTCCAGCACATATCCCCAATAACTACCAATGCAGGGGAGATTTATGTTAAAATACTAAACCCCAATGTGATGGAACTAGAAGATGGACTCTGTGGGAGGTGATAAGGTCATGAGGGAAGTGCTCTTATAAAACAGACTCCAGGTGCTCTCCTGCTTTTTCTGCTACAAAAGGACACAGTGAGAAGTTGACTGCATATGAACCAAGATTCAAATCTGTTAGCGCCTTGATTGTGGACTTCCCAGCCTCCTGACCTATGGAAAATGTTTGTGTTTTAAGCCACAGTCTATGGTATTTTTGTTTTAGCAGCCTGAGGAGACTAAGACACTGGACAGTCAACAGTCTGGTCACAAAACTGAATATCAAAATCTCTAACACTGTAAAGTAAAAATCTTTGTTAAATCTTAATACACACACACACACAAAATGCACTTTAAATATTTCTTATAGTTTAATGGATAATAAATTATAAACTGAAAGCTCAGCAAAATAAGCAGATTCATTGGCATGTTGTTAAATATGCTTCTTCAGAATTTAACAGAGGAAAGTATACATGAACTCCTAAATATATACAGCATATACATTAAAAGAAAAAGGCACATTCTTCATTATCTACTCCTATGTATCAATAAAACAAATTAATAGTGCCCCAATGCTTTTTACTTTAAATAATAAAATTATCAAAATTGAATGCTGGCATAGGCTGAAGACAAACTTTTAAATTAATAGAGAAAGAATGAATTACAACTCATCATTATAGTTATAATTAATTTATTTTCCACAGAATGTTATTTTTTAGAATGTACACAATTCCTCCATATAAACTTATTTAAAAACTAACAAAGTACTATTATTTACCTAGAAACTGCCTTGTCACAACATTTTGAAGAGAACATCATTACCTGACACAGATCATTATTTCCTACCTCATTGTATCTCCTTGATAGCTCATCCATTAAAACACAAGAAATTCTTACTGCAAGTAAAACCAGTTCAATTGCGACAATGCCACTCACAGAATGAATGACTCTCTGTTGAATCCTCCTCACTCTATTACCACAAAGATCTAGCATCTTAACAGGTATGAATTTAATTAATGGACTGAATGTCGCCAGCAGATTTGAAACGGATTTTGAAACTTTTATATTACAAATTAATTATAAATAGAATTAGTTAAATATAGAACAGATATTGTGATCAAATCAAACTGAAAAACTAGGTAAAAAGGAAAGAGGCATAAGAAAGACTGCTTTAAAGTTGACATCAAAGATAACTCTGATCTAGAATCAGATCTTTCTGTAGTGATCCCATTGTTAAGTAGTGGACATTTCCATTTACTTGTATTCACAGTAAGCCTAAAGCACCTCTGTACTTCTACTCTATTTCCTGGCTCCAAAATGAAGAGTTTTAAATATAGCTGGACATCAAGGTTCGGAAATACAATTATAGTTTAAAAAAACTATAAATTAAATCATATAATTAAAGACATTAAGTCCATTTTTTAAAATGAAGATAGAGTGTGGCCAAGAATATGCAATCTCATTTCATGAATTTTAAGGAATATGTAAACAGAGTAATTAATGAACAAAACAGTTTTATAAAAACAAAACTTTTACCCACATTACTCAAAGGTAAATAACTTTTAAAAAATAGGAAAGGACAGCCCTATCGGTTTGATTCAGTGGTTGAGCAACACCCCACATACTGAAGGATGGAGGGTTTGATTCCAGTCAAGGTTTTGGTGACAATGAGAATCTTGATTAGGGAAGAAATAGGCTGGAACAGAAAGGGGCAGTCTTTATTAGGAAAGACGTTGGATTTTTACTTATTTATTTATTTATTTATTTATTTATTTATTTTATTGATTATGGTCTCACATAATTGTCCTTATCCCCCCATTCCCATCCCAAACCCCTCCCTACATATGCAAGACGTTGGATTTTAAGAAATGTATGTCTGAATGGCTTTCAGCTTTGAGATGGGTGGGTGCCAGGGATGGGATAATAGGGTTCCAGGCTGGTACAAAAAGGGAAAGTATGGTGAAGATAAGTGACATTTTAATATTAACAGTGATAGGTGTTTACTTGTAAAAACACTAGAAAATTTTCTTCATAGTCTCTGTTGCAGGCTCAATCCCTGATGAGGCAACCAATCAATATGTCTCTCTCACATCCATGTTTCTCTCTGACTCTACCTCTCTCTTCCTTTCGCTCTAAAAATCAATGGAAAAATATCCTCAGGTGAGTATTAACAACAACAACAACAAAGTAGGAAGGGACAGCCAGTGCAAATTCTGTAATTTCATTTTCTCACCATCCATTTTCCTACTCCTTTCTTCCTTTCTGAAACCAAGACCCTCTCTTATGGAAAATCAGATACAAGAAGGAAATTGCATTCACTATTGTTCTTTCAGAAGAATGTCAGGTGACTGGGTATGACAATGTAGTTCCACCTATTAATAGTACCCAGGAAAGGTTTAGAATACCCACCTGTGTTCCTAGGATAAAAGAAAATAAGCAAAGGGAAGTAGAATAAAATGTGAGTAAAGATGAGAGAATGAGAAAGGTCATGCATGTGCCTCTGTACCTCTGCCTTCCGCAGCTCCTGTGAATCTCAGTGTGCTTTTTCTCTTTCCTTCTAGTTGTAGAATTTCCACTCAGCCAGCCTTCCTGTAGTTCTGGATGATGTCTGTTTTGTCTTTTAGTTGTAGTTTTGAAATTGTTGTGGGAGACAGCATTTCAGGTGTTTATCTATGCCGCCATATTGGTTTCTCTCTGTATTTGTTTTTAAAGGTGTTTGAAACATTTAAGTAAATCAAACATATCAGAGAAATTTACATTAGCTTTGGATTTTAATTTGAAATATTTAATAAATTTTGAACATATATTGTATAGTAACTAGGATTATGTTTGGTTATGAGTGAAAAAAAAAAAAACACAATCGTGACTTAAACAAGATTGATTGTTTCTCTTTCACATAAGAGTTTGGAAGCCATCTATTCAGGCTGATATGACAGTTTTATTTCACAAAGACCTCAGAAACCAAGGTTTTCCCCAGATCCCTGGTACTCTACACCTGGGAGGATTTTAATTTGAAAGGTGTAAAATAATTTTATTAAGTTTCTCAACAGTATTAGAGCATTCAATATAATTGGATTTAATCCATTAATCCATTAATCAGTTCAGATTAATAAATTTACAAGAGTTGTTTAGATATTTCAAATGATTGTAATAGTTTGTAAGGCTACCCTCTGAAGCATTTGGAAAGTTTGATAGAATCAGACTTATTTGATTTATAGAGTTAGTTTTAAATGTTTAAGGCAACTTAATTTAACTAGCTTTATAATTTTGGAGATAATTGGTTAGGTGAATTTAATCATTAATGAGTTAATTGAACAGGAATAAAAAGAAGTAGTTTTTATACTAAAATTATAAATTACATATAAAGTAACAAAATTTGTAAGATGGACATCCAAGCTTATAAAAACTGTTTAAAAACACAGTGTTTTCTTTTTTTAATGTTTTGATTTTTTGTTGATAATCCTCACCCGAGGATATTTTTCCATTGGCTTTTAGATAGAATGTAAGGGAGTCTCTTCACATAATGAGAAACATCTATGTGAAGAGACTCATCAATTGGTTGCTTTCCCCATGGGCCCTGACCAAGCCTGCAACCAAGGTACCTGCCCTTGACCGAAATTGAACCTGGGACCCTTTAGTATGTGGGCTGATGCTCTATCCACTGAACAAAACTGCCTAGGGCAAAACACACTATTTTAATTAGTTAAATATTAAATACAAGTAGCTATGGGTAATCATAAGAAAGAAGAGGAATCTGCAACTCTCTTCCTAGCTCCTTCTGGGTGGCCTCAGGCAGAGGCTAAATTAGCACCACCTTGGAGATCCAAGAGCCAGTATACCCTGGGGTACACCAAAGCACCAATGAAGCAAGTCTTGTCTCAAAAGGATGTCTCCAGCACAGAAGTTCTCCCATTGTAGACACAGCTGATCCTCCCAGCCAACTGGCATGGAGGTCAATTCCTCCCAGTGATACCAACAGCAATCAAGGCTTAACTACAACAAGACTGTACACAGCCCACAAAAGGGTGCACCAAGAGTGTCCAC